GCTGGGGACGCCGTGAGTCAAAATGTAGAGTAGACAACAGAAAGGATGGATGGATAAATGGAGTGTGAGGGAAGGGGAGATGGGAACTGGCAGAGTTGTCTCTTGGGATGGATCTTCCGCCGGGGCTGACTATCCTGTCAGAAAGCTGTTCTGAGTGACATTTCAAACTAATAAAAAACACACTGCTGTGCTGTAGTCTTCCATCAGAATCAAGCAGCAACAATTTATACAATTTAGTATTCAGACTTTCCACAAACATGGTTCTAAAAGTGAGAAACAGCTGAGCGCATCCACAGCTTTACTAAAACAACATCCAGTGGCGTGACGCACCTAAACAAACGCGTTATGTTCACATTACCAGAGCTGAACTGCCACATAAACAGCGAGAATCCAGGAAAAAATAGGAATACTGCGAAACAACCCAATCTGCAATTCCCTTCCTACTGCCCCAAAGGACTCCATGTTTGAAAGGATGCGCCGCAATTCAACAGAGAAAAACCAAGAGCCACACGGGAGAAAGTGGAGTGACCATGGCAGCCACTATCGCTCTTACTGCCGCGTCTTTAGCTGGAGTCTCCCTGACCCTGTCTCTGTTTGCCTGGGAGGCAAGGTCTGGTACCGCTGACGATAAAACAAACAGACAAGCCCCATTTATACCGTCAGGTGTCATGACAAGGGATAAACAGCCGAGCGCTTCAGGTCTCTCGAGGCGCAGTCTTCAGCAATCATACGGGCTGTAATCCTCCTCATCCTCACCCTCACCCTCATGATCATCATCAAGAGTTGCAATGGAAAAGTGTCAGCAGAGGCTCTTAAGTGCCTGCTGGGAAACGGACAAGCACCAGCTCAGATTGGACAGAACTCAAGGGCTACGATGTTTACTTTGCCGAGCTGTAGTCATTCATGTCACTGAATTAATTGGGTTTAACAAAAAAAAAGCAATAGCCAAAGACACTGCTGGAGGAGAGAGGGAGACGGAAGGGGCCACTGGCTGCAGAGGGAGGAAGAAAAGCACAGTCTGGCGCTGAGCGAGACCGCTATGGCAAGCACGCGTCGGGAATGACAAGAGTGAGCCTGTCATCACGAGGGATGAAAAACAGCACCTCTCAAACGAGGCGAGGCGGCAGCTGCCTCTTGCGCCAGCGAGGAAGAGGATGCACAGAGACCACAAACACAATTATCCTCATGCCAGCTTTGTTGTTTGTCAAAAATGGCACGCATTTAAGGACTTGGGGGTGCTGATTGTATGATAGCCGGAGAGCCTTCAGGCTGGACAAGAGGCCGCCAGCAGAGAGTCATTACCCAAGCCAAATAGACTCCTCATTAGTTTTTCCCCCCTTTGGGGATAGAGCATCAACGGGAATGAACAATGGCTGCCAGATACTCAATCAGCAGAGGTGTGCACTCCTGCGGTGGGTGTTTTTCCCCCTTTGAAGATCCAATTATGAAATCCTAACATCAAATCATTGCAAATAACACCTCGTATACAAGGTGTGTGTGCATCTAAAAGAGGTTATCAGAGCTTCATTACGACTGTGTTCAAATCTGATCTGTTGTCTGGGAGTGGAATCGTATATGACCACCTGACAGATGGCGTAATGTGGGCACGGGGGGTTATTTTCTGACAGTGTGAAAAATCATAGTCTTGGCAACTTTTGGTATCACCAGCTGGTCTTTTTCATCGCGTTCCGTCAAATTTAGGCTAAAAACAGAGCCTATTTTCTTCATTTGGTCCCGCCTCCCCAGCGCATCGCCGTTTTATCCCTCAGTGTGTTCTGAGAGCCAGGACAGATAATAGCAGTCCATCTGAAAAGACCTGTTGACAAACCTGCAATCTCTGTGCCAGACAGGGATGAGTGTCTACTGTGGCTCTACACACACCTGTCTGCTGGTTGAGTGCCAACATTGGTCGGACACACACGCACACACACACACACACGAAGGACAAATTTAGTTCAAAAGAATCAGAGGTGAGCAATACGTCCTCTAGGACAAAAGGCGAGAACGGAACGAGCTTATGAGAACAAAATGAGCTCTCTAAAAAGAGAGAGCCATAGATGACCCGTGTCAAAGGCAGGGACACTTTGATGTCCCTTTTCCAAGTGAATCCACTCAAAGGCAGGGTGAAAGGCCCATCGTTGTAAAGAAGATGAGACTCTGTGAATCCTATGAATGATGCAAACGGTACAGAGATTTGGACAAGTTGTTTTCATGATGTTGCACTCATCTGTGCAAGACTGTAAAACCGTGAAAGCTGCTGTCTAAACACACACTCAGATCTGGGCACTGTGGTGCATTGAGATGCAAATTTTAGCCAGCCAACAGGCTCACGTTGACAACAAGTAAATGTTTTTAGAAGGTACTATGCTTACCAAGCTTACAACACTTAGAAATGGTAGTTTTTTTATGCCAATTAAAAGAAACCCCTGTTTATGCTGCAGATCACCAACACCAGGACTTGTCCCTCATCCTTACAAGCTCACGTTTCCATAAAGTTAAAGTTATGTTAAAGTCCCATTAGTTGTCACACACACTGATGTGTGTGTGAAATTTGTTCTCTGCATTCGATCCATCCCCTTGGGGAGCGGTGAGCTGCAGACACAGCCGCGCTCGGGGAACTATTTGGTGGTTTAACCCCCCAATCCAACCCCTTAATGCTGAGTGTCAAGCAGGGAGGCATTGGGTCCCATTTTTTCAAAGTCTTTGGTATGACCCGACCAGGAATCGAACCCCTGATCTCTCAGTCTCAGGGCGGACACTCTACCACTAGGCCACTGAGAAAGGTCTATAGCATCAACTCTTGTCCCGGAGCTCCCGTGGAGAAAGGTGCAATGAACCCTACGATGTGAGAGTGAGCCGTTGCCTCAATAGGAGTGGTGGCATCTGGTTTGTGATGGTGAGATGATGCAAGACCAACGTAATGGCGCTTTGGTCTGCCATGGTAAAATGTTGGATCACTGTTGAATGAAAAAGGACTCAAGATAGTAGGAACTGGAAAGAGCTACCCTGTTAGCGTGGTTGAGCTCCGCCTTAGATCGGTCACCTGGGGTGCTCGCAGCATACAGCTGTGGCTCCTCCATACCAGCCAGAATCATCTGAGGTGATTAACCTCTACTTTTGGGTTTTTTTTCCAGGTATGGCCCACTTGGGGGGCAAGCCCAAAAGTCACAGGACAGATGATGTACTGTATGTCCTCCCTGGCCCTGGAACTCCTCGGGAACATCCCATCAGCAGCTGGAGTGATTTAGGAGAGGCACATCAGGGGTTTGAGCCTAGATTGTTACATGCATGGCCCTACTGGATGAGCTCTGAATGGATGGATAGACTTCTTGAAGACATCTCACTTCTAGAATAACTTCTCAGTGCAGCTTTGTCTGCAGTCAATTCAAAGAGCAGTTAGTTCCATTTACACTCCAGCATATGTCGGCGCAGGGAAAAGTCAGGGACCAACTAAGTCTGCTGACTTTCTCCCTGGAGACGCCAGCCTGAAGATCGGCTGCTTTTACCAAGGTAGGAAAACCGACTTAGCTTTCAGCTGAATCTGAAATTTTCATTTGCAATACAGAGACTCGTGTGTTCGTGTTACGATTCCATCAGTTATTCAACTTCACCACTAAAGCCTTTTCTTGCATTGACGAGTCGCATCTGGTTTGAGCAAACTTCATGATTATTTGATTCATGTCCTGCCATTCTTAAATTACACATTTAGGTGGCCTTAAAAATACTCAAACCGATATTAATTGCTTCTATATATTTCTTTATCCTTTCTAAAGAGCTGACTGAAAAAAGGAGGAGTTGTTTCAGAGGAACATGCCAGCACAAGTATCTCAGTACATTTCTGGTTTGATCTCCATGGTTCACCAAGAATTTGCTTCAACAAAAATGAGACAATCACTGCTTTTGTACGTTAACCTGACAAACTCTGTATTCTCACATCAGTACACACCGAATACCTAATAGGGACACAGATCTCATCCTACATAATTTATAGAAGATATAGAATCATATGTAACCCATCTGCTAAGGCCTGCTACAGAGGAAATGTAAAAGGAGCAGCCCTCTTCAAAATGTTTAGCACTGATCGCAATCGCAGCAGTTTACCATACGGGCTCCATCGGTATCTGCTCCTATTGATGCTGCAGCCCCATCACTTCATTTACCACGAGAAGCATCCCAGACGAGTTTCTCTCATTTCCATTTATCGAAATCCTATTTCTATTCCATCTGCCAACTAGTCACCTGTGAAACTAGTTTTTAACCACGGTTTCAAAGTGCACTCGCTTCAGCCTTCAACCCAATTCCCTTTATTGGTGTTTACTCGACAGCATAAAAACCACTGGAGGGGTGCACACTGCCAGCGTGGATCATTTCATTGTAAAACACCCTGGCAAGGGTGGCACACAATGTTGCACAACGTAAAAAAAAAAAACAAGTGTGTCGGGGAATTAAAGAATAAATTTCCACTTCCAATTAAAAGATGCATTTGTGCAACGTGAGGAGGAGGAAACATCATCAACGAAGGGGAGAAAACACACCGTTACAACTAAGGAGGCACAATTAATGCTATTTAGACAGAGCTGCTCTGCTAATACAAGCAGAACATGTATAGGAGACAGAACAGGCTGCGGATGTACCTCCACATCCCAACAGCTGGGGGAACAGATGACAAACGTAAACACAAACAGCGGTAAAAACAAGTTCATAAAAAGCGAGATGAGCTACCGTCACTCCGGATTTACATAAAAGGTAAACAGTTGAAGTTTAACGCGTTTCCTGTGACCCAAAGGTGGCGTGAAATAAACACACTCTTGAAGAAAGAAAACACCAGTTTTATTGTGCAGCTTAGGTGTGTGTGTGTGTGTGTGTGTGTGTGATCTGAGTGGTATGCAGAGCGAGCGCCCTCTCTGCAGGCTCTCCAATCAGACTCTGCTAGACTCTGCTCCGACTTCGTTAAAAACTAACAGAACACAGCCTGAGGGGAATGAAACTAGAGGCCGATGGGCAGGTGAGTCCTTTTTATTACAGGTCAACATTCATTACATTTCAGAACATCCTAAACGTTAGAAAAACCTTTCCCCTCATTAACTATGCTTGCTCCTTGTACCGCTGGTGCAGCATGAGCACATCTTCCTGGGAGACTCTGGTCCAGCCCTCGCTGTGGACATGGTACAGGTTGACCTGCCCTCCGCTGTAGGCGTCACGGTACGTCGCCTGGTAGATGGCGCGACGGCCGAGCTCACACGCCTCCTCCACTGTCAGCTCATTCCTCACGCCGCTGTCCACCACGCCGTAGGCATACATGGAGCCTGAGCCCACCGCAAACAGGTCGCCACACACCCGGTTACCCTCCGAGTCAACGTAGTACAACCCTAAAGAGAAGGGACAAAAGGTGGGTCAGCAGGGCAGAGAGGCGGATAGAAAGAGTGTAAAGGGAGTCGTTTTCCTCCCGATTCAGGCGAGAACTGAGGTGATGCACCGCTTTCCCTACAACACACACGGCACGTTCTCCAGAGAGAACAGAAGAACATCTGCAACTCCTTCAAGTCGAGTAAGGCTGGCAGAGATGAACAGCTGCATCCTCTTCAAGTAAAAATGAAGCCGGACGCAGGACCTGCTGACGAGGCGCGGCCCACGACACCGTCCACCTGGAGGCCTTTTTCTGAATCCTATTGATCCCCGCAAACAGGCTAAAAATTAACTATCGACCCACAACCTGAGCTGTCCAGGTAGCAGCGTCTCGCCAGAGGATGGAAAAATAAAAAATACAGGAGCGTCATTGCACCCTGTGGATTACAGCAAAGCTAAGACTCAGAAACGTCCACACACTCCTTTGAAGCCCTCACTTCTGTGCATGGAGGCATCAGCTCAGACTGTGTCAAACTGACCCAACGTAACCCCATGAGCAATGCAGCCAACCCCCCCCAAACCCCTGATGTGAAGGACAGTTTGCTCTACACCACGCTTTGTAGACACATGCGCGACATTTTGTTCAGCAGCCATGACACATTCGCCCGGCCCGACTCCAGAGCGGCGTGACTAGCACCAGCCTGCGAGCTCGCCCACAGCCAGGCTGCAGACGGTGAAAAGGACAGCCTGTGAAACGGCATGTTTTTCTAACGCTTTCACAAAGCAAAACCTGTGAAAGTCAGCCGCACGCAGAAAAGCGGGAACGCATAAATAGAAAACCGCTAAATATTCACAATCGCTCATAACCCAGCAGTAAAAAAAACGCCTTTGGATCGCACGTCCTCGCTTCCAGATTCTCAGTTTAACTAACTATTAGGGCTGGAGAGCCACTTACATCTGAGGAAAAAAGGAGAAGCTTACCATCGGTTTCAGCTGGCAAATTGCAGCTTCCTAAGCCTGTCGTTAGATTGCCATGATAATCATCCAGAGCCTGCGTGTGCACGGGGGTAATTTGCCATTCCAAGACCTGCCTGTTCCACTTTGAAACTGTGAGGGACTCGTTAAAAACATAATAGGCAAGGGAAGAGAGTTATAAAGACAGCCTCTTTTGTCGAGTGGCTCAGTTGTCGGAGGTGGTTGAGGACTCTTTAAGAGGTCCAAGTATAGAAGCAGTACACAAGCACACCTGGGGTCTTTGTACAGCCGGGTGTGATGTCGCGTAATGGCTTCTGCGCCTCAAACGCCACCGCAGCAGAGAAGTGAGTTCAGGGGAAATAGAAAATGTGGAGGTGAACTGACGAAGAGCGTGCTGTCCAGAGAGTGGAGCAGGACCTCCTCCTTCATCAATCAAACGGCAGGTGCTTAAAAAGTCTTTTTAAACAGCAGCAGCAGCCTGTGCATCTGGCTGGAGTAACCGCAATTAGACGTAGGCGAGGAGCTCGGCGCGATGCATGGGTGGTTGGCATCAGTCGGGTCAGTGAGTGTCATCTGTCCTCCCCACTCAAATTCACAGCTGGCTCAAAAGTGAGAAGAGCACTGCGGGGGTACAAAGGGGGCAGAAAAGCTATTACATCACCCCCCCGGGAGTGGCCGTTGCCATGTGGGCTTTCTGACAAGGCTTCACATCGTACACCACTCTGCTTTTCACAGAGAGGCTGAACCGATGAAAAAACACAAGACCCGCATGTGCAAAACCTTCCTGTCCTTGTGCAGAGAGCAGCACAAAGCAGACGCTTCCCTCCGCTGCTATGAAGCATTAACCGCACTGATTGCAATCGTCATAACAACACGTAATGTTATTACATTGAGGCACATTTGTCAAGCTCCTTAACATGGCTGTTACTCCGTTTATTTTGCGTGCGGCTTAAGGCCCTTCATCTGGGGAATAAGTACTCCTGACGTGGTTGTAGCTGGCTAATGAGATCCTGCCTAAAAGTGATCGATTTAATTTACCTCTCCGTTCAATCACATGCACAGTAAGATGCAGACATATTTACATCACATGACCTATCGTGCACATATGAGATCATTATTTCCCCAACTGATTGCCTGAGATTTAGCGTCGGGGGCATCTGTGGGCCCACCAGCGGGCCGTCACTGTCGGCAACGATTCTGCTGTCCAGATAAAGCTGGCATTGATCGCCACTCAGCATCAGGGCATTATACAAGCCACCCGATTGTCTGGGGCTCACACCCAACGCCCAGCACGCAGCTACTCCTTCACTGGCCTACTGTCCCAGCCTCATTGATTTCCCATTACTGTGTCACTGTGGCTGCCTCTTTAAGCACACCTTCGCTGATGTACGGTCTCCCTGCATGTCATCCAAACTCCACAGCTTTAGGGATAAACAAGGAGACAGCAGGAGACAGCCTGCAGTGCCATCTAGTGGCAAACTGAAGCTACAGATGTTTGTCTTCCATTTTCAGGAACCTTAGTGTACAAAAAGACATACAGTTTCACAGAAAACAGGAAAATCCACAACGTTTAAATAAAGAGCATCGGTGACTCCACATCACAACAAAGGACCATTAGATTAACTAAATAATAATCCGGTACATCACTCACCTTCTACACCCCCTTCTCTTCAGTAAGGTCTCAGGGAGCTGGTGTGCAACAGTTAACAAATGAGAGGGAGGGACACTCTGGACAGGTCCCCAGTCCATCACAGGGACACAGAAAGACACAGATCGTGTAAGCATTCACACACTCACTCACATCTGGGGACAAACTCTCTAATCAATCTAACACGCATGCTTTTGGTCTGTGGGAGGACACCAGAGTGCCAGAGGACTACCCACGCATACTTGGGGAGAATTTATTAATAAGCTGCATGGAGATGCAGTTGGTGGCAGCTGCGTCTTGCCGCAAGGTCACAGGTGTGTGTTTGTGTGTGTGTGTGTGTGTGTGTGTGTGTGTGTGTGTGTGTGTGTGTGTAGGTGTGTGTGTAGGTGTGTGTGCTGGTACTCTGGTTTCCTCCCACATTCCAAAAACCATGCATGTCAGGCTGACTGGATACATCATCTCTTGGTATAAGAGTGTGACTGGGTGTTTGTCCCTTAATGTCCCTGTGGTGGACTGAGACCCGTCCAGGATGTCCCCTGCCACCCGATGACTGCTGGAGTTAAGCACCAGCTCCCCAAGACCCTAGAGACAAAAAAGCGGCTAAGGTAACGAGTGAGTGAGTCCGTTTAAACTCAAATGTATTTCGATAAATTCAGGGCACAGCTGAATAAAGTAACAGCACATTTAATTTTCACAAGTTTGATCACAACAAAAGATGTTTAAGGGGCATTATGGAAGTTTGACAGCCAAAACATGTATAGAAATAATTTCTTCTTCAGAAATTCTCCTGCAATGCCCTGGTCCTGTAGAATGAGCCCTGGCATTTTTACTGTGGTTGCCTGTTTTTCCGTAAAATCACAGAAAAAGAGAGATGCTCGGGTCGAGCAGGCACGCTCAGACATAGCCCGTAGCATTTGCTATCAGTAGCTTTAGCAGCAGAGAGTGAGACAGTGCCACTTTGTCGCTGTTCCTAACGCCTAGTGACGAACCTAGCTACATTTCTGAGGACCCTTAGCTACTTTCTGTAAAACTTTCTTCTAGATATTTCCTGCAAATTAGCAACAAAATAGCCATTTTTGCTCTGAACCGTTCTTTGAACGTTGTTTCAGCTGTCATCAAGGATATAAATGTTACAGATACAAAGGACGTCACCAGTACTTTAGCTCACCTAGTAAGACGTCGGACTCCCATGCAGAAGATCTGGGTTTGATTCTGGATGTGAACATAGTTTATTTAGAGTTTCTTTTTTACATTAATGGTATATTTTTTTACAGTAAGATGCCCAGATTTATTTGAGACTCGCCGAACGGCGTTGAATTCACAGATAAAAAAGATGTGGGTTCAACTTTCATTTTGGAACAATTTTTCAAGCAAGGGAAGGGAATGATCTGAGCATGCAGGAGGACTGACCCATCATAAACCTTTGTCGGCTGTGCTGAAGAGAAAGGTACAGAACCAAATTATTTAATTAATTAGCTGCACGTTCTCCTGTCCTCTGGGCCAGTCAACCCCACACACACACACACGGGACTGTCTCAGCTGTTATTTTCGTTAAGGAGTGTGCACGTACAGCATGCGCGCCTCGTGCACGAGCCTACTATTGAAGCTGCTGTTACGCTTTTGGCCTGAGGGGGCAATCGTGAGCATAAAAATTCAAAAGACCATAAAGTCCCTTTAAGGGGAAATGTTATAATGAAAAACTAATTTTTTTTCTATAAGGAAATCTGTCTGATCATTTTGGATCACCATATAGACCAAATGTTCTTGTGGATTCCATCTGCTGCATTTACCTGGGCCTCTCTTGTCCCAGCCACACACCATGGTCCCCATGCTGAGTCCCATGCCCTTGTACTGGTACACCATGTTAGCAAGCAGCTTGGAGGCAGCCGCCACAGAGATGCGCTCCTTGTTGCGCAGCTCATAGATACGGCACTGGCGGGCCAGCAGGCGCTCCCAGAAGCTACAGTCAGCGGCTCCTCCCGCCATGGTACCCAGCAGGTACGGGTTGATCTCAATCACCTTCTTGACAGTCTGTGAGGCGATGTAGGAGCCTGCTGTGGCCCGAGAGTCCACTGCAACAATGACTCCATGCTGGAACTGAGAGAAGCAGAAGTTCATTAGAAAATTCAGTTACAGAAGAGAACAGTCCATCTAAGAGATGCTCTTGAAGCTCAGCTCAAACTTTAACACATTCCTCTAAAATCACACCAGTCAAAGTCAATTACTGTGGTGAAAATAAAATACGATTACGGAAATAACTAATATTGATTGACTGAAACGTTTATTTGAACATAAGACAAAATATTTTTTTTTAAATCAATAAACATAGTAGAAAAGAAAAGATATACCAATAAAAAAGAAGTCTTTGTCCAAAGGGAATAAGAAGAAGCAAGCACCCCCTTGTCTCTCATTACTAATTTACTTTACAAGTTACCATCTATACCTACCTACATACATATCAATATATCTATCTATCTATATATATATATATATATATATATATATATATATATATATATATGCAGCTACCAATGAGAGCATTAACATTTTATGGTACTAGTGATAGTAATAATAATAACAATGACAATAATAGCATAAACAACAGCAAAATAATAATGACAATATCATAGTTTCCATAACTTCAGAGAAGCTCATTTTCAAATCCATTAGTTATCATTTTTTTATACAGTGATTTAATTTTGTTTATATTTGGACACTGTTTGTGTATTTCCTGCAGCCCATTCCACAGTTTCACACCACATACTGATGCACAGAAACTCCTTTTAGTGGTTCTTACCCTAGGCATTTTAAACATTTTAGTCCTTCGTAAATGATATCCCTCATCGCTCTGGTTGAATTAGGTGGCAATACGTGCTTACTAGCTTAAAGTGCTTGTTGGTTTACACTGGTTCCTTTGTCAAATGTATTGTAGTTTTTCCCCCAACTAGATAAAAACTAATGCCTATGCCTAGTTAAGTTTAAAAGGATTATTAAACTGAACTTTGATGTTCTTTTATAGCCATAAAACTATAGATTTTGGGTGTAAGAAACCAGATTGTTTGAATGTTTACTGCAGCCTGATGATCACAAACATAAATCATCTCATTTATCAGTAAGACAGCAAGCCAGTGTGGGTTTAAGTTACCATACAGAATACATGTTTGTTAGTAAAGTCGCAAAGAAAATACAAACATTAGCAAACACCGATGCTCAGAAAAATCAAGCTGCCATGAGAAAGCAATTTGTAGCTAAGCTAGCAAGCTAACGCTCGTCACATCGTGTTATATAAAGTCTCGTTCACAGCGTAAAACGTAAACAATTAATCGGAAGTTGTTGTTTTTTTGAATTGCATACACTTCCCGATACATTTGACACCACCTATTTTAAACCAATACGCGAACTTACTTTGAAGGCTAAGGTGGTTGTCCCGTGCAGGAACTCTATTTTCCTCTCCACGCCATCCTCGTCTCCGGTGAGTAGCGAGTTCTTAACAGAAAATTTTAAACTGTCCCCCGGGGCAGCTTCCAAATCTACACCGCTCTGACCGGGACCACAACCAACAGCGAAGGGCTGACGGTAATCAAATGAAAAATCCACACAATCGCTGCTCAATACACTAGCAAGAGCCATCTTTGTAAGAGCGTGATGAACAAGCAACTTCCGCTGCGCATGCGCAGTACGACCTGGATTGATCATCCATCTATAATTGAAACATGTCACAGCGCCCCCTGTGGTTGTGGGGGATTGAGAACGTAAATAATTGTCCTATGTACTTCATGGTTTTCATGGATCTCTCTCTCACACACACACACACACGCGCGCGCACACGCACACGCACACACACACACACAATGCTTTGCTTTATTTAGTAACTTTCTATTTTGACACCCTCTCCCTTTCCTTTTGTATCTTGGACCCGTCTCTCCATGTCTCTGTAATATTCTTCTTTCAAGTCCTCCCTCTTTCTTTGGATCCACCCTTGATCTGTAACAAGGAAAAGGTCTACATTGTTTCCTGAGTATGCGTCCCTGTGGGTGGCTCTGAACACTGCTTCTCTTGCCAAAGAAATGGCATCTTCTTTACTCAAACCCCAGCTCAGGTTTCCATCCAGAACTCCATAAGCGTAGGGAGAACCTGAACCCACAGAAAACACGTCTCCTTGCAGTCGGGCTCCATCACTACACACATAAATTAACTTTGGACCCCTGTTGGGGGATGGAGAGTCTGGCGCTGAACTAATAGCACCTGAAGAGTCTGTCATAAAAGATGTGTCCTCCAGATTTTTGCCAAAGTTGGTTCCAACTTCCTCCTTATCCCAGCCACACAGAGTGAGAGCCACACACACATCAGTGCCTTTAAAGGGATGGAGCATAAAAGACAAAAGCTTAGCTGAGCCACGTATTGAGAGGCGGCGGCCGTGTCGCAGTTGGTAGAGTCTGATTTCTCTAATCAGAATACGCTCCCACAGCATGCAGTCTGCACCGCTACCTGAGGAGGTGACCACCAAATGAGAGTGAATAGGGGTAATCTTATGAACAGCCGGACAAGCAACAAGCCCCCCAGCGCTGGCACGCGTGTCTGCTGCTGCAATCACTCCACCTTGGAAGATGAAACCCAAAGTTGTTGTTCCATGGCACAAAGGAAAAGGCCTGCGAGTGGGCACTGAAGGGCCATCCGTGGTTCTGTTGATGAAAGAGCTGGTGCAAGGAATAGATGGCATGAAGACATGTGGCGAAGTGTTCTCAGATGTCTTTGATCTTTTCCATTTGAGGTTGTAGCAGTCAGCCACCTGAGTAGATGAGGTTGAATCCTCCAGAGATGATAAAGGGGAGAACTGATGCACACGCCTTTCCTCAAAACCACAGATATCTTCTAAAGCCATGAGTTAGATGAAGATGTAAGGTAAACACCCAACAAAGCTGTCAACTCCCAAAGCCTACTCTGCAGACAATACTGATGTGCTCTTCCCCTTTTATAGCTATGCAAAACTAACAGCTTTCAGTAAGGCCATCATGCACCAACACGACCGAAAGCTTTACGGTTGTTTTATATTTTATGCTGTGAATTGGATATGCTGAAGCCTCTTTCTGCAAACCTAAGACTCTTTAGTGCCAGAGAGTCATCTAAGACGTTTCACATCAGTCGCTTTTACTTTGTTTGCTTTTCGAGTTCCTGATACATGATCTTAATAAAACGAGAAAATAATTATTATATTATTTAAATGTAAATTACATTTTTAACCTTTTATTTTAATACTTTTCTAATGTTGTTTGTTTATTCGTAAGGAGAAACATTGGAACAACAAACTGTTCTGTGTTTTTGTAAAATCTCTGCGCAAATAATTATCGCGGGATTTTACGAGATATGAAACTGACATTCTCCCACAGCCATCTTAGCTCTAAATGCCTTAAATGCAGCATTCATGCACGTTCTGGTGGATCCAAGATGGCGTCAGTTTCACCGAGATCCAGCAAGACGGTCCTGGAGTCCATTCAGTCGGTAAAAGTCATGGCGTCCGCCAGTTCGGGGAGCAGGGTCTCCTGCGGGAGAGATATGAACTGTGTACCGGAGGTAGCTGACACACTGGCTGCGGTCGCCAAGCTTGGGTGAGGAGCGTGTTTGGTCCGATTTGTTGTTTGAGTAACGACATTAGAAGAGTTTCGCTTGTTGCCATGTCTGAGTGACGCTTGCTAGTTAGCCGGCGAGTCTTGAGCACGTGCCCCATCACAATGATGCTTGGAACTGGTTATAAATATTTATAATCGTTGTTTGATCGATTATATGGAATAATTAACTAGTAATTGGAAGGATAACTGAGGAAATGTACAGTTTTGCTTGGTTATTTGATGTCTGACTATGGACTGTAATGTAATTGAGTTCGTCTTTTCCTCGTCCTGTGTGCAGGTTTGACTTCCTGTGCATGCCGCTGTTCCATCCGAGGCTCAGGAGAGAGTTTGAGTTGGAGCCCGGAAAATCCCGACCCGGGGCCCAGACCCGGTCTGACCTGCTGCTGTGTGGGAGAGGTTTGTCAGAAGAAATAGTGCTTCAGGCATCTCAGATAAATCTAAAGAATTAACAAAATTATCTCACATTAAATGTTTTAAAGGGATTTATAGAGGAGTTTTTAACTCATTAAGCAATTAGAAGAATGCTGATTTGGATACAAATCTATTCTAATACATCCGTCCATTTTCATCCGCTTATCCGGGGTCGGGTTGCAGCAGCCTAAGCAGAAAAGCCCAGACTTCCTTCTCTCCAGCCTTTTGGGCCAGCTCCTCCAGGGGAATCCAAAGGCGTTCCCTGGCCAGCCAAGAGACATAGTCCCTCCAGCATGTCCTGCGCCTTCCTTTAGGTCTCCTCCTGGTTGGCCGGGCCTGGAAAACCTCACCAGGAAGCATCCTAATCAGGTGCCCCGGGCACCTCAACTGGCTCCTCTTGATGTGGAGGAGCAGCGGGCCTCTCCTGGATGACTGAGCTTCTCACCCCATCTCATAGGGAGAGCCCAGACTCCAAACATTTGTTTAGTCACTACCCAAAGCTCGTGACCTTAGGTGAGTGTAGGAACGTAGATGGACCAGTAAATCAAAAGCTTTGCCTTCCAGCTCAGCTCTTTCTTCTGCACGACAGACCGGCACAACGCCCGCATCACTGCAGACGCAGCACCTGTCCATCTTTCCCCTCACTCGTGAACAAGACCCTGAGATACTTTTAACACCTCCACTTGAGTCAAGACCTCATTCCTGACTTGGAGAAGTTTATAATACATCACTAAGAAACGTTCCCCATTAACACATCTGTGACGTTAACGTTCTCTTGGACTGCTAAATGAAATGAGTTTGAAATTCACGCGTTGAGCCAGTTTTTAATAATTATTTTCTCTGATCCAGACTGGAATACTCTGATTGTTGGGAAACTCTCTCCGTGGATCCATGCAGATTCAGAAATCGAGACCCAGCGCAGAAACTCGGAGGCTGTGAGTTTCCTAATCCGGACAGCTTTATGATGCTCTGCTCCTGTAAACATAATAAACTAGTCAAGCCTTCTGTTTACCTCCTCATCTCCATTTCTCCCTCCTTTTCATCCACGATGGTTTACTGTGTTTCTCTCCTCTTGCTTCCAGGCTCTTTCACAAGAGCTAAACTTCTCAGCCTACCTGGGTCTTCCCGTCTTCATGATCCCTCTGAGGGGACCCAACAACGCTAACTTAGCCCGAATGTTGCTGAACCACATCCACACTGGTCACCACACCTCAAATGTAGGACACCGATGACGCCAACCCAGTGTTGAGTGGCTTTTACATAGCAGAGTCCAAACTAACAGGTTTTTTTTTTTTTTAGTTCTGGATACGCGTTCCACTGATGGCGATGGAGGACATGCGGGAAGATCTGATCGAGAATGAACCGACGGCTTGTTTGGATGAAACAAGTGTAGATGAGAAAACTTGGAGCTGGTTAGTTTCCCACAAACACTTCTATTTAAGGATTAGTTTGATTTATTTACTTATTTTTTCTGTGTTTTTTAGGTGGCATTCATTCAGAACCCTTTGTGATTACAACAAGAGGGTCTGTCTCGGTGAGGGAGCGCAGTGTGAAGCAGCCAATGAAGGAAAAATGATCCTAAAAGATGATTCTGGTTTTTCTTTGTGCTGAGAGTCTGCTTCTGTTTCCCTAAAGCCATTGAAGTTGGAGCAGACATGCCTTCAGACGCCGTTATTGATAAATGGCTCGGGGAACCAATCAAAGCAGCAATAATTCCAACAAGCATCTTTCTAACTAATAAGAAAGGCTTCCCAGTTTTGTCTAAAGCTCATCAGAGAATAATTTTCCGTCTTTTCAAGGTGAGATCGTTACCGATTCTCAGGTTGTCATCAGCGGGATTCAGGTGTGTTTCTTAACCAAACCCTTTTCTCCTGGCAGCTGGAGGCTCAGTTTATCTTCACAGGCACCAGTCGGCACACTGACAAGGACTTCAGGTCCTACCTGCAGTACCTGGATTACCTCAATCAGAACAGGCCTGCGCCCAACGCCTATGAGCTGTTTGCCAAAGGCTATGAGGACTACCTACAGTCGCCCCTGCAGGTGAATAAATGCTGTTGTTGTTTGTCTTTAGTTCTTGATGAACGGTTCAGTTATTTTTGTTTTATTTTCCAGCCCCTCATGGACAACTTGGAGTCTCAGACATATGAAGTCTTCGAGAAGGATCCTATTAAATATTCTCAGTACCAACAGGTGAGGTTGTTAGGATTCGGGCCGGGTGGCACCCTCAAAACCCTTCGGTTTTAAACCATTCAACTAAAAAAAGTAACGTTAACGTGGATTATTTATTATTTCTGAAGATATTTTAAATTTTTTTCCACTTTGCACGAGATTAGAGACTAAAGCATCAGAAGAATCATGAACAACCAAAACTAATCAGAAAGTGTAATCCTCGTAGGGCTGCCGCGGACCATTACTTTGAAAGTCGACTCATCGGATCGTGCATCCGTTGTGGCTATAGTATCAGCATGCAGCGACTCTGTTATAACCATCATTGGCTTCTTATTTGAAGTGTTGTCTAAAAAACAAACACAGTTAAGATAAAAGCCTTCAACCCCTTTTAACAAGCTCTGCAATAATGAGGGGAAAAGGCACTGAGCTTAAGAAAAAGGTTGTTGGCATGGTAACAAGGTTTTTCACTGAAGAGCTAAATTTTATTTTAACAAATTTAGAGACATTCCTGCAAACACACGACGTGTGTTAAAGATAATCACACCGTGTCGCTACTGTTGATGTTACAGCTACTAATCCTAGCTAGCTAATTAGCCTTAGGCGACTCTGGCTCTTCGTCGTCGGCCGCAGCGTGTTTCCTTTTTAAGGTTTTTGTGAATCATCGTCGTTTTGCCATGGGCAGGTTCCCCCTTTGCAGGTTTTGCATATGCTTCTCTTAATTTTTTTATTAAATGTTCCCAAATGTTCCCAGCTCCACTGCTGGCCCGCCATAACTGTTTGGGCTTCTCTGGTGACTCCACGGCTGACCTCCAGTACCACAACTGTGCTTCAGTCCACTTTTTTCAGTGTTTGTCTTTTCTTATATTAGAGTAAAAACTGTTTATTAACATATCTGGAAAGTTTTTTATGTGTAAAGTTTTTAGGGCTGCCACAAACGACTATTTTAGTAGTCGAATAATCACCAGTTTTGTTGATTAACGAATAATCGTGTCATTCATAAAAGTTTAGCTTATTGCACCAGGATGCTCTTAATATACCCATCATTAGCTTCTAGTTCTATGTGTGATCAGCTATGTGGCATCTAGTAATAAAGACTAGATGATAGCTTATCAAACTACTTTAATTAACTTTGTAACCTGTTAATACAAATGCTGCAGTCAAATGGAGGTAGGCACCTAAAACCTAAAATATATTGTACACAAAAAGGACTCGTGTTCACGAGAGGCGTGGTGGCAAGGTTGAAACGCTTCATCTTCCAATCTTAACTCAGGAAATAGCCAACACACCAAGGTACGCCTCTGTAGCACGGCTGGTCCGCACGCCAGCGGTCTGGGGACCATCGACAGCTCTGAGGGTCTGCTTTACCGTAAACACAAAAGATATTAAAGTTAGTTTATTTACCAGATTAATAATTCTGTTATATCTAATGATGTAGGTTAAGATTTAACACAAAGAAAATGTTTAATGCTTTAAACATGTTAGTTACTTGATTGTTCAGTCAGCGACCTTTTTATTTTATCATAAAATGCATTATACCGTAAATCCTCTAATATTGGCCTGTATTTAATTAACTGCCGGGTATCATATTTTGGCCGGTGTCGGCGGAGGTGAATAATGGCCGGTTTTTTATTGTGGCCGGGTGGAATGTGGTAACAAGCAAGTACGGGGGGGCGGTTGTGTCATCCGTCTCACTTTTGATTTGCCAGTGAGAGACTGCCAGGGTAACTTTAACCGTGCGGAGATGAAGAGGAGGCGAAAATTTGATGTCAAGTTCAAAGAGAACGTGCTGATTATGCTGCAGAACACTCTGGGGAGCAGTAGCAGGGGTTGTATGAACTAGTGACTAGTCGACTTCACCGCTCTATAGTGACTTTTTATGCCTGTCATCGACTAGTCGTTGTCACGTGATAATGACCGGCAAGATGCAGTCCACGGAAAAGACGGCAGCCTGCTGTCAGCAGGTGACAAGCTCCTGCGCGTCGGGAGGCAACGCGCTGTGCCAGAGCGTCGGTACTGACACCCGCCGTAAAACTGACATTTAACCAAATTGTGACGTTTACCCTCTTGCAATTTAACATTCCCCTCACCCCCATCCTAACCTTAACCAGCTTGCGCATGCAAAGCTCTGATTGTTGACGCGCTCCAGACATCTGCGTCCTGAGCACGGCCACAGTAACATTATCAAATCAGGTGTCGCCACCTCAAAAACAAATTTAACACTCGATCGTTCATGTCGGCTCATTTCCTTTTATGTTTTCTGTCTTTTATTCTTTTATTTGCGCCTGATGCTTTTCGCTGCTGTGGAGCGGAGTGCATCACCTGTTTTGTCCTCGGTGACGCACCTCACTGATACGGCCGGCGAGCAGCGCGCACTCCACTGTTTTTGCGGTCGGTAGATCTTTTAGAACTGCAGTTCAAAGGTAACTGAAGCAGAAACTACCGTTGTTAAAAGAAATGTGTTTAACTTTGAAAATGTGGGCGCAATTTTAATTGTCAAAAACTCCAGCGAACCATTAGTTCATTTTGCTCAAATAGAAATGGAGGCCTGCCTCTAATTCTGGTCCTCCTTCCAATAAAGGCCTGGAGCTTGATGAGCTTGAGTCATATACAGGCCCGGGCCTGTATTAGTGGATTTATGGTATTCTAATATTTTTGTGTCCAGAGAGAATCAACACACACACACCTTAAAGGTTGTTTCATTTCTCTTTTCCGTCATGGTGGAGAAATGGGATGAGCCTGGTAGGTAGTAGTCGTGGTAACCTGGGTTGAGCTGCTTGATCATCTCTCTGAAACCTTGATACGACCATGGACAGGAGTCTCATGACCAGCATGCTCACAGTGGCCTCGGTCAGGGCGTTGGCTTGCTGAGGTGTGCACGTAACAAACTTGTCCATTGAAGAGGAGCACTTTTATTAACTTTTAAAATTAATAGTCAACTATTTTATTTGTCGACGTCGTCGTGACGAGTCGACTAATCGTGGCAGCCCTAATAGTTTCCCCTACAAACTTTTATGATTAGCCCGTGTTGAACTCCAGCCTGGCGTGTGTTCTAGAGCCCAGCAGTGGAGCGTTATTCTATGCTGTTGTCAGTAACGTGTGTGTGTGTGTGTGTGTGTGGTTTGACTTCTTCTCTACAGGCCGTGTTTAAATGTCTCCTAGACCGAGTACCGGACGAGCAGAAGGACACTAACGTTCAGTAAGTTGGAGCATCGCCGTCTGATTGGGACGGGGACATTTGATCTACACTGCTGTTCTGTGTTGTAGGGTGCTGATGGTGCTGGGAGCAGGTCGGGGTCCTCTGGTCAACGCCTCTCTACGTGCTGCTCAGCAGGCTGACAGGAAGCTCAAAGTGTACGCCGTTGAAAAAAACCCCAACGCCGTCATCACGTGAGTCTTTAATCTGAGAGGCCGCTTGAATAAGGAGGCGGAGGGGGAAAGAACTGCAGCCTGAAACGTGTTTGTGATGTGCTGTTAGACTGGAGAACTGGCGCTTTGAGGAGTGGGGCGACCAGGTGACCGTGGTGTCGTGTGACATGCGGGAGTGGGCTGCACCAGAGAAGGCTGATATCATTGTCAGTGAGCTGCTGGGATCCTTTGGTGATAATGAGCTCTCCCCTGAGTGCTTGAATGGGGCGCAGCACTTTCTCAAAGGTACCATCTAGGGATGAGCGCGAACACCACTAACATTCTGTTAAACCATCTAAATGATCTGTATCTGTACTCTGAGTGGGCGTGGCCTAAGCCAGAAGTGGGTGTGGTTTACATCAATACATTATTTTACGTCTGATCAGAAGTTGCTATGTGTATTGTTTATTTGAAAACTATTTACAGAGCAGCCTCAGAGTTGAGATTAAATGTTTTTAATCACAATAGTAAAGGAACTATTACAGAACAAGTTTTTCAATAAAATCAGAACATTAATATTTAAGTGCATGAATTAAGAGCGAGAGAGAAGAAAAGATCTTTTCTAAAGCGCCTCTCAAGATAAAAATCACGGGGCGCTTCACAAAACAAAACATGTAAAATAGAAAAAAGAATTTAGAAAATGATTAAAATATATTTAAAATGAGCAAAAAATAGACAATTGTGATTTAAAAATGTAGAGAGAGAGAAAGAATAGGAAAGAGGGAGTGGATCCTGAGGAAGAGGAGAGAGAGAGGAAAAAAAAACCCGACTGGAGCGCAGGCAGTGACTGACGCAGCACGAGCCGTTTTCAGCTCTGTCTTGTCAAATGCACCACGTACGTTACGAAAAAAGTAACTTTAAATAACTTTAACTTTAAAAAGAAGCAAACCGAAGAAAACATAGGGAGCACTGAAGAAACGTGAACAGTGAAGCAAGCACAGAGAGATCCGCAGTGTTGGGCAAGTTACTTCAAAACTGTAATGCATTATTTATTACTTGTTACCCTCATTTTAAAGTAATTCATTACATTACAAGATTACTGATTTTAAAATGTAAGGCATTACACTACTTTTGCATTACTTTGTTACTTTCACCAAAACAACTTCAATATGAATCTGGTAACCTGACGCTCAGTGAGCTCATGACATATGTGTGGAAGGTGATGTGGTGTCTGAGCTAGGACTGCTGTTAAAAACAGTCAGATATAATAACAGTGCTTTAAAATGATTGTTTATTAAATAAAAGCAACAACAATCTGTACTCTCAGCACGCTGCCATCTTAGATTAACTGAGCAGGGAGTGAGGTGGTGGGGGCTCCAAGCCTATGTTTGCCTTGGTCCCCAAATGCCTTGATATGGCCCTGGATGTGGGACTGACTTCTGGGGTGATCTGATTCAATCACATGTATAAATATTAAATGCTTATATATTATTGCTTTTCACTGGTAAAAATGTGTTTTGGGGATAAATCTACCTACTTTTTTCTTTTTTTCTTGATTTTATTTGAATAATTTCCTGCCCTTTCTCTCCTGCATGCTGCATGTTTTCTCCGTCTTCCAGAAAAAACAGTTTCCTAGACTTCCTACTTTCTAACGATCAGCCAGAGGGATCTTCACATGCGCGGTGCTCCAGCAGTAATGAGTTGAAATCACCGGGGAACAGATTATGAACTCAGCTGAGGCAAAGCACGTCAGAAAAGCACAAAATACCAGAGAATATGCGCTGATATGAACGATCGCAAGTGAATTATTTTGTTTTAGTGGAGAGATTTTGTGAATGTTACAGCGGCCGCGTGCAGGACGCAGCTGAGCCGTTACCGCGGCGTCCTCTCTGCCCGCAAAGCTGAGTCCATAAATGACGTAACATATGCAGATACTGGATCTTTCTTCGGGTTTCCCGCAATTTGAATTTTTAAGGAACACATCTTGATTCTGGGTTTAAAAATACATTGTAATTACCGCGTTACTGACAATTGTACCGAGTAAATATTACCATTCTCTTTCCCTGTAATGCCTTACATTACTACATTACAGCAAAAAGCAATGCATTACAGTAATTAATTACTTTTGTACCGCATTACTCCCAACACTGGAGATCTCTGTGTGTGTGTGTGTGTGTGTGTGTGTGTGTGTGTGTGTGTGTGTGTGTGTGTGTGTGTGTGTGTGTGTGTGTGTGTGTGTGTGTGTGTGTGTGTGTGTGTGTGTGTGTGTGTGTGTGTGTGTGTGTGTGTGTGTGTGTGTGTGTGTGTGTGTGTGTGTGTGTGTGTGTGTGTGTGTGTGTGTGTGTGTGTGTGTGTGTGTGTGTGTGTGTGTGTGTGTGTGTGTGTGTGTGTGTGCGTGCTGCTGAGTTTTGTGTGTAGGGAGGGGCGGGCGCACTATGTGACTGGCCAATCACAGAGCGTGAAGACGGTCAGTTACCCAATGAGGACTTTCCTTCAGCACAATTACAGATATTTACGAGTTTTACTCGTTTCATGCTCGTACTCGTCAAAAATGCTTTTTCCGTATCCGGCTCATCCCTAGTTCCGTCGCTTTAAGAAACACAGATTCCACAAGCAGACGTGTTTCTTTCTGCTGATGCAGAGCAAGCATTTGTACTGCTTCGTTACCTTCCTTTTCCCATCCAATATCACTTTTTCTTTCTGTTTCTGCGTTCCAGATGATGGAGTCAGTATCCCTTGCTCCTACACGTCTTTCCTAGCTCCGATATCCTCATCCAAGCTCTACAATGAAGTGCGGGGGTGCAGGGAGCGCGACAAGGACCCTGAGTGCCATTTTGAGACGCCTTATGTGGTGCGTCTCCACAACTTCCACCAGCTGGCTGAGCCTAAGGCGTGCTTCACCTTCACACACCCATCTAAAGGTAGAAACCATCAGATTCACACGAGGGAACGTGTGTGTTTGTTCTGGGGTATTTATGAGGTGTGTGTGTCCTTTCAGACATGAACAATAACCGCTACCAGTGCCTCAAGTTCTCTGTGGATTGTAACTCTGTGCTCCATGGCTTTGCTGGTTATTTTGAAACGACTCTGTACAAAGATGTCACACTCAGTAAGTCGTGTGAGGGGAGGGGAAATGATCGTGTGTGTGTGTTTAGATAGAAATGTTGCTTTAATTCCATGTGTGTGTGTGTTTTTATTGCAGGTATAAAACCAGACACTCATTCGCCTGGGATGTTCTCCTGGTTTCCCATCCTCTTCCCCCTCAAGGTAAATCAATCACTAGAAAAGTGGAAAAATCCAAATCCTGTTCAGAGACTCCATGTTCTGGGTATTCCGTGTCTCCCTAACAGCAGCCCATTTCCATATCGCGAGATGATGTCACGGTGCGGTTCTGGCGCTGCAACAATGGGAAGAAGGTTTGGTACGAGTGGGCCGTGACCGAGCCGTGCTGCTCTGCCATCCACAACCCGGCAGGTCGCTCCTACACCATCGGCCTTTGAAACGCAGCGTCCGTGCTCTCGACTCGTGTTGTTTAGTTAGACTCGGTGGCGACTGGATAAATTCTGTTAGAGCAGATGTGAACTTTCACCTGTGCACGCATTCTGTCTCTGTGTGGTCATTGTGAAGCTCTCTGATCAAGTCCAAACCAAACCCACTGGTTTCACCTGCTGGTTTTGTGTTTTTTTGTAATGTTTTGAGTTTAAATGTGGACATAAACATCCAACTGGTCTTTTGCCTTATCACACACACATTCCACATGAGCCATAACACAGCTGTATCCTGTTAGCACTGCTCTCAACACACGGTCACCCTGTTCATGTTACATGTTTAACCGTTTGTATTTTGTCTTCTGTTTCTTAGAACATTTTCAATAAAATACTGTCATGTCCGGTCACAGACACGCATGTTGGGTTTCACGGGCCTCAGATCCATTTATGCTTTAAGCAAACGTGCGAAATGAAAGATGGAGCTCGGGCTTGTCTCTGAGTGAGCTGATTGGGTGGTGCCACCTGTGACCTGACGGCTCCACGGGTCACTCCTGCATGATGTGCACCAGGAATACCGGATTTAAGCCACGTCACCAGTCCAGGCCATGGAGAAGGCTTCAGTGAGGCTGAAGCTTGGCAGGTAGAAATGGAAGTTTTTTACATCTATTTCTCTCACAGCCATCAAGTGCCTATAGAATAAAACTTTTTACTAGTTCTCTTCCTGAAGCACAATGAACTTCACCTCCACCCACATCCTGGATAGAATTGCAAACACTAAAACAGATGGTTCCTTCCACACCTAACCTGGAGGGTGGTCGACCTACATGAATGAGAAGAGGACTGTGCGAATATATTAACCCCCATAGGCGTGCCCTGTAGTGTGTGAGGGAAAGGAAGTGATTCTTTGGGTCTCTGACGGAAGTGCTCTTGTTCTTCCATGATTTGGGTTTCCTCAAACCTAAAAAATTACATTTTTTCCCCAAGGGGGAGGACCTCTTGGTTCTGGTTTCTGGGAGCTATGAAATGTTCTCAAGCTCAGTATCCAGATCTTCTTTCTCATTTAAATCTGGGTTTGTTGTTGGGAGAACAGAAGTGTCCTGGGCTTTAGTGTCATGGACAGGTTCTGGGTCAGTGGTGGGAAAGTCCGAGGGTTTTTCACCTGAATCCTTTTCCTCCATGCTGAGCTTGTTGTATGAAGACCTGTTCTGATCTTTCTGTAGCTGTTCTTCAGTCTTTAGCAAAGGTGCCTTCCTGCAGGTTGTGGAAGTCTGGCCATCCAGATACAGAAAGCCTCCATGTTTTTAGTGGCCTGTTTTGGTTTCCACGTGAGCCTGATTTTTTTTTTTTTTTTTTGAGTTTCATTTCTAAACTTTCTGCCATTTGTTGTGGTGAAAAACTCAGTTTTATACCTGAGGTCCTTGAAGTCCCCGTCCAAGGCTTCTACATGTGTCTAGCCATGAAACGGTCTAGATGATTCCTAATAGACATTTCTAAGATCGTGTGTTCTTGCAGAGATGTTTATTCAGCCATCAAGGCATCATTGTCTGTTCTCCAGTTTCTTTGTCAGCTATTTATTAAGCTCCTGTTCCAAATTTCCAATCTGAATTTTAGAGGATGTACCATCAAGTTCATACTTTATGCAGAGCTCTTATTGTGAAGCGGCCTTTTCTTCTACGGTCTTCTGAAAGCTCATCTCCATTTTTGTAAAAGATTTTTTCTCCCGGCTGAGTTCTGCACGGAGATTCCCTTAGAGGTTTGATGATCTCTAAATGAGTTTGTTTTTGTTTGTTTAAAGGGGCATTATGGAAGTTTGACACCATGTTCCTGATGAGTAGAAAAACCGTCACAAGGACATTCTTCAGAGAAAAACAACAAAACCGGTGCTCCGAGGACTCCAGATTCACACGATCAGAGTCCAGGCAAGGAGTCAACCTGGACTGTGTCCTGAACAGCTGATCCCTGGCTGGTGTACGAGATACGAATCCTCATTTTCAGATTAACCTGAAAGTTACAGGAAAAATGACGTTTTATTAAACCCCGATCCTTGAAATATGTCAGTGAAACCTTCTGGACTTTGTGACATTTTATCACAGAGTTTGTAGGTGAAGGTCTTCTTCTGGGATGTGATATGATGGATGGCACCCAGAGCAGAAACGCCAACCACCATCGTGTTTCCTCGCAGACCCACCTTGTTTGGGTTGCTGAGAACCACCGTCTGGGTCAGCTCAGCTGCACCTCGAGCAGGAAGAGAGTCTCTGCTGGGGGCCTTCATGTGTAGCTGCACGCTCTGGAAGGATCAAACAAAACTAGGAATTATCAGATACGCATGTTGTTCAGCTCTGTTTGCCGTACCGTCTACCGACAAAAGCAGATATAGTCTGAATTCTTTACCGACGGCTGACCAGGATGTAGTCGAGGGTTCAGACGCCTACCCAAAGATAGAGCTGGGGGAAGCATTTACAAATCCTTTAAACCTTCACTTCTAAATACCGCAGACAACAAAAGACGTTTGGTCCTAGAAAACCGAGAATGGTGTTTAGCGCTCTCTCGTTTACCCACATCAGGGGGCCAGGGCCTAGGGATGACGGCCAACGGTGTGACCGTATTTGTGTTTAAAGCTAGCTCTTTAGGAGATTAGCCATTCACTGAAAAAACAGAATAGTTTAATCAACCTAATTTAATAGTTTCAATTGGTAACAAGCAATTTAATTAAGTTTATCCAACCATAATTATTAAAATTGTACCAATAATTTAAGTTGGATTAACTTAATTAAATTGCTTGTTGCCAATTGAAGCAATTTTTTAAGTTAGATCAACTTTTTTCTTTTTACAGTGTTGCAGCTTTAATACAGAACTGTTGAGTTATTATTTATATTTGTGCTAAGCTGATATTTTTTGCCATATTTAAATATTTTAAATCAGAAAACTAATTTTAACATCGGATGAAAATAATTGGAGCAAATAAAAACGTAGCTTTCAGACAATTTTGTATATTTAGGAGGAAAAGTTCTCCAGATCAGTGAGGTAATAAAATATCGATAATAATTCAGTTCTACCAGCTACACCCAGATCTGTTGGATTAAATTATCACTTCAATTAAATCTGCCCGACAACGAAATAGGCTAAAAGATCTCAAATGCAACACATCATGTCCTGATTTAAAGAAACTCAAGAATAAAGAGTTTGGTGTAGAAGCCCCCTCCCTGTTAATCCCAGTAATCTCATATTTTAAAATCAAAAACAGGTTTAATGACAGACCATCTACACCTATTGATCCATCCTTTATATTCCTCATTATCTGCTCTAGCTCTGCAACAAAAACAGACAAACGAACCTTGGGTACTGCAGCTTGCAGGGTGAAGCTGCTGATGTCTGAGTCAGAGGAGTTGGAGGCTGTGAGGGTGGCCAACAGGCCCGAGTCTGACTCTTGTTCACAGCCGAGTGTCAAAGTCACGCCATGTTTCTCATAAATGGTCACAGTGGGAGCTGTGGAGGGGTGACGGAAATAAGATATTATGCGCTTGCTTTTGCCTAAATTATGTTCAAGAATGAACCCTTTTTGTGTCCAGATATAAAATCTGTCCAGCATCAGCTTAGTGCATCTGTAGATCAGACCTGAGGATGGGGGAGTAAATTCTAATCCACCCAACAGCACCTAACGATGCTCCTGATGCGACTAGAACAGGGATGAGGAGACAGGAAGTGATCTTAATGTTGTCTCTCTAATCCTACAGATAATCTGTGAGTCTAACACGTACAGAAATAAAAGGCACGTGACTAAGTGTTTTATGATTTTGCTTGGTAACTAATATTTTAACAAAGGGCATAGATGTTTCTTCTTACTCCACATTGTCAGAGATGCGTGTGCTCAGTTTCATGGTGGCGGTGAGAGCGAAGCCTCTGGTTGCTGGTGACGACATGTGAGACTGTAGAACAGTCTCCAGAGCGTCCAGGACGTCGTCCTCCGTGACCTGATGGGACTAAAAGATGTTTGAAAGATGGTTTCAAGCACAAAAAGAGGAATCTGGGAGTTTTTTTTAATAGCATATTTACCTTAAAGAGCAAGTCCCCCCCTACCAGAGTATTACTCTACTCCCACTTCCTGTTTGAAAAATGCAACAAATGCTGTTGCCTAGCAGACCGAGAGGGCGGAGCCGCTAACAAATACACACACACACAGGCTCACAACATTGTGACATCATATGGTACCAGCTAATGTTCCAGGGCACCTCTTAGCCAATAGCGATGGCAGATTTAAATTCAAATGCAGTGCAGCGTTTTTACCTGACAACAGCGCAACACTGACAGTTTTAGGCAGAAAATTAAATTTTTAACTAAAATGCACTTAAGTGCAAAACTACTGACTACACGTGTCTGCAGCACGATCAGACACGCATTTATATAGTTTATCAGAAAAAAAGCTGATTTGGGGTGACTTGCTCTTTAACTTTATGATGAATAAAGAAAACCTTGCTCAGTCACTAATGAAAACATCTTTGTTTAGTAATGTGTTCAACGTCTGGATGTGGGTGACCCTGTAGTGTGGCCCTTTCTAAGCTTGGCACTGACTAGTTTCACTTCACCAGTTATCTGCATTCATCATCAGTTCACACACCCTGATGCTGCCTTTTAAAGGGACTATAAGGCAGTTTGACAGTCAAAACATGTATAGAAATAATAAATGTCTTCTTCATACATTCTCCTGCAATGCCCTGGTCCTGTAGGATGAGCCCTGGCATTTTTACTGTTATTGCCTGTTTTTCTGTAAAATCACAGAAAAAGAGACATGCTCGGGTCGAGCAGGCTGCATCATGTGCGTTCACGCTCAGGCATCGCCCGTAGCATTTGCTATCCGTAGCTTTAGCAGCAGAGAGAGAGGCAGTGCCACTTTGTTGCTGTTCCTAATGCCTAGTGACAAAGCTAGCTACATTTCTGAGGACCCTTAGCTACTTTCTGTAGAACTTTCTTCTAGATATTTCCTGCAAATTAGCAACAAAATAGCCATTTTTGCTCCAAACCGTTCTTTGGTTTGACGTTGTTTCAGCTGTCATCAAGGATATAAATGTTACAGATGCTATACATGTTACTGGTGCTTTAGCTCACCATGTAAGATGTCTGACTCTCATGCAGAAGACCCGGGTTTGATTCTGGATGTGAACATAGTTTATTTAAAGTTTCTTTTTTACATTAATGGTATATATTTTTACAGTAAGATGCCCAAATTTTTATTTGAGACTCGCCGAACGGCATTGAATTCACAGATAAAAAAGATGTGGGTTCAACTTTCATTTTGGAACAATTTTTCAAGCAAGGGAAGGGAATGATCTGAGCATGCAGGAGGTCTGACCCATCATAAACCTTTGTCGGCTGTGCTGAAGAGAAAGGTACAGAACCAAATTATTTAATTAATTAGCTGTGCTTTCTCCTGTCCTCTGTCCTCAGGGACACACACACACATACACAAGGGACTGTCTCAGCTGTTATTTTCGTTAAGGAGTGTGCACGCACAGCATGCGCGCCTCGTGCACGAGCCTACTATTGAAGCTGCCGTTATGCTTTTGGCCTGAGGGGGCAATAGCGAGCATAAAAATTCAAAAGTCTGTAAAGTCCCTTTAACTGACTCTGAAAATGTTCTGACAGTGAGTTAAACGAGCCCTGAGATTATGCAGATCAGCGATGTTTTTTTGAGATTCTTCCCCCATTTTTACTGGGCAACTCTTGCATTGCACCATTCTTTGTTGAAGTAGTCGGCTTTCTTCTATATAACAGTTTGGTTTATGATCCTGGACTTGAACTAGCAGTCTTTTATTTACAGTTTTTTTATTTTTGCTTGGGCCTGTGGCAATGTGAGTTTAGAGTCTTGCTCAAGGACACAACGACTGAACTGGTCAGGGCTCAAATCTGCGACCCTCCAGTTACACTAAACTCCTCTACCACCGTTGCCCAATCTCTATGTCAGGGGCGGTTCTAGACCAAATTTTCCAGGGGGGCCACAGTGGGGCCAGTATTTTTTCATGGGGGCGCAAGAAAAAAAAATCATAATTAAAGACAATGAACAAGTAAACTATTACAGTGAATGCAGTAATGGTTTACTTGTGAAAGTAAAACTGGCATGTTTTTATGGTACTCAGATAACAATTCTGAATGCTTCACCGCAACATGTGACTTGAGTAAAAAATAATTCTAGTTTATTATTATAGTTTGTGACTTTATTTGAAGATTATATAAACTGTACATATGAAAAATAAACATTCAAACAAATAAAATATGTGCACAATACAATTTGCTTTTTGTAGTCAACACACACACACACACACACACACACGTAAGCATAATCACTTCACCAATTGTTTGATAAACTCACGATTTTCTATAACCTTTTTACTGTGTTCCTTGTCGAGTATATTAGCCAATGTTGTATTAGCTTTCACAGCCCTCTGGTAGTCCCTCCATGCTATCATTGAATCCTTATGCCTTTCAGACTTTGCATGTACTGACAACCCCCCTCCTCTCTCAGTTGCTTCTTTCCAGTTCCTAAATCCACATGGTGAGTCAAACACACTTCCTGCGCTACTGGGTGGGCTAAAATGTCTGCATGCATGACAATAAGTAGAGTCCATAGTAACAGAATATTCAACCCAAGGATTACTTTCATACCAGCTTGGCTGAAAGCTGCATCTTCTGTCTCCTATTAATGTCACTGGAAATGTCCTCAAACTAGGCTGAGTAGGTGGGTGATCCTTGCACTTGCTGATATCTGAAAGAAAATAAATGTTAGCATGAGGATAAAAGTCATAATTAGTTAATTCAGAGTCTTATTTTATTTATTTATTAAATATAAACAACAGAAATGTTGGTCCAGAGTCAGCATGCCTCAAATGCATTTTACACAATATGAGCTGCAAACACAGAGGGCTTGTTCAACACCCACAAACCTGACGGTAGTGTACACGGTGCACATGACAGAAGATGTTCCTCTTTTTGCTCCTCACTCTCTCCCTCACAGCCTACATCTTCCTCCTCCTCACTCTCAGGGTGGACAGCCTCTGACCTCTCTGGTTCCTCTCCAACCAACTCCTCCTTCTCTCTTTCATCCTGCTTCTCAGTTCCCTCGTGACTTTCATCCTCTCTCTGTCTATGCTGTTCTTTATTAACAGCGGAAAAAAGGACTAAACGTCCCGCTGATGCTTCCAGTCAGTGCTGCGAGAAAGTCATAGATAAATGAATACTGTGATCTAATCTCAACGTGTCTAAGGCTTAAAATGCAGCAAATTCATTTTTATTTTACAGTTAATGTTACACAGGAAAAACAAATCAGTATTAACTGTGGATAGACTCAGTTAGGAACTTAAAAGTAAATGACAGAAACGCGCGACTACGACAAAACACTGATGTCAGGAAAATAAACTGTATTGCTTACCTTCGTCTCTTAGCGTCTTTTCCGTTTGGCGTCCTCAAGAACTTCTTCGGGTCCCATTTAAACTATTTTTAACCTTTTATTCAAAAATCCACCGGGTAAACAGTTCTGTCCACAGAGTGTGCTGCGCTCTAAAGGCTCCGTGTGAAACGCTGCAGCGCTTTTAGTTCCCGTCTCCGAGGCAGCGCGCGAAAAAAAAATCCGATCTCTTCAGCACAGGGGCCATAACAGGGGCCAGGGCCGGTTCTACAGGGGCCCAGGCCCCTGTGGGCCCCCGTTTAAAACCGCCATTGCTCTATGTTTATGTATATTATGATCATACCTTGCTTATCTATACCACTTTGTTATGTATACTGCAGTGACTTTTCAGAACTTTGTTTTGTTACTTTGGCTCTGTGGTCTGATCTAGTCCGATCGCCAACATTCTTACCCCATTCAGTTTCCTAGCCCGAGGGCGTTTAGCTGGACTGCTGCAGGCCGATCATGTTGGGTCTCTTTTGTCCAGCAGTTTGTTGATCTTGTCAGGTTCAGAGCTTCAGGCTGGGATCTCTTTCTAGAGCTAGGGATGGGATTACTGCCACTCAGTGCAAATGACCCGTGCCCATTGGGAGGGGAGTTTCACTCACTTCTGATTTACGGCATAACTTATATGTCGATAGGGAGCCTAAGTCACGCCTATCTACTTCCAGACCATGGGTCTCCGGAAGAACGAGAAAATGAATGCAAGTCAACGAGGCTAAAAACGCTAGTTTCTAATTCAGTTTGTTATGTGCCAAGGATTTCACATATGATGTCCGTGAATTTTAAAGATGCATTCTGATACCAAGAACGTGCCTATTTTCGGACGGGGAAAACGCTATTTTAGGTTTGTGTGAAAATAAGTCCAGGACTACAAATGTGTTTCACAAAAGTGACGTCATCAAACAAGTCACGGAGGAAAAACAGAGGGAAAATGGCTGGAAGTTCAGCGAACTACAAATCTTTCCTTCAGGAGGAAAGAACCACCATAAATCTGGCCATGTGGTAGGTAGCAGCTATGTTATGGGAGAGGAGATTCTGTGGTGATGTCATAAATGCGACGTGCCGATGTCTGGTTTGTAGTCATGCTAATTACTAACTTTTACAAGCTGATAAATCTCAAAGTATGTGACGGGCGTGGTCAAAACACATTATTTTTTATCCAAAGAGACTGTGTAGTTTTTACCATTAATTTTTGGAAATGTCCGTGCCGCCATTGCACTCTTGATTTGCACTTCACCCAAGTCTGCAGCGATGCAGACCTCGGACAAGGGTATTACCCACAAGTCATTGCTGCAGGAGAAAATGTTCAAGTTCCATTTCTGAAAATATGTATTTTCTAATGAAATTAGTTAATTTTAGGACAATTAGTTGATGCTCTGAAACTTTTAGACAAAGCAGCAATAAATGTTAATGTATTTCAAATAACTGTTTGGCTGTTTGTTTAAAAGTTGTCAATAAAGGTTTTTGAAAAAAGTGTCACAGCAACCAGCATCCCGGCATGTGTTGCGATTGATGACGCAGTGCCCCCTGTCTCATTTCTGCAATTATTTGCACACTTGTGTACTACATAGTTGAAGCCTTTCTCCAAGTGCACTTTGCTGAAGTCCGCAGGGTGCAGTGTGAGTACTGAGAATGGGTCTAAGTCTCTGGACGATGCCATATTAGATGCCATGTTTCCTTCGGAGCCCATGAGGACAAATGCATTTCCTGATATGTAACAAACGGTTACAAAACTTTCATCATTCTTAAATGTTGTTTTACACATTTACCTCTTCACTTGTTGCCAGTGCTTGTTATTTTGCTGAAGTTTGCACTCCCAGGGCTTTTTGCCCCTAGTGGGCATCCGTTGGTAAGGTCTTACTCCAACACAAAAATACTGCTTGCTTGCAATGATTGAGGTATCTACTGCCCCCTATCGCCAGGAAAAATACACACTGTCACTTTAAATATCAGTACAGCATATGTGCCATCCATGGCGTAAGGCAAAGCGGATTAGAAAATAGCTCTTTTAGCGCCGTTGACTTGCATTCATTGTTACGTTCATCCGGGAACCCAGGAGCGGACCGGAAAGGGAGGAGACTTTGGCTCCCTATGGGTAGAACTCATGAACATCATACCGGTTTGACAGAAAAATTGACCCTTTATTGTAAAACACAAAAGCCTGACGTTAGCTCGTTTTGGTTTATTATTACAGCTGTTTCACCGCTTCATGAGAAATGTGACGTTTTAATAAAACTGAACTTTGGATTTCTATAGTAAACTTGAGGGTGACGAACACTAGGGTGCACATACGTTACAAAATCACCCACTTTCCCAAAACTTTACTCTGCAGGCATTTGGCTAGATCAAGCTTGTCGGCATAACTGACTTGAGTTTTGTTTTTCTCAAACGGATGCAGCAACTCCAGCAGATATGTCACAAATGTCTCCGAATAAAATTTACTTGGTTTAAACATGAACATTGTCTTTATTTAACCCTCAAAAGAGTGAATGCATAAACTTGAAGTTTTTCATGTAACTCATCCAGGTGCTCTTCTTCGTTACAGAATTACCAAAAGCTCCTTAGATTTCTCAAGAAGTTTCATATTTA